AGGAATCAGTCTCTGCCCAGCTCACGGCCCTCAACGTGCTCACGGTCAGTAAAAACACAGGGACTGGGCTCGAACACGAAAATCACTTGTACAACTTCACTGCAGACTCGTCAACTCTAGTACAGGTTCTTAACAGGATTACGCTAGAGTTTTGAAAGTATTTAAAAAAGGAAACTTGATGTCACCACCATCCCCATCTTACCATGAACACACTATATGGATCCACTCCAAAGAAATCTTCAAATCGCCACTTCCAGGTTTCAAAATCATGAAACTTAAAATTAATTAAAATATCACTTAGGACATCATCCAAGGCTCCTGGTTTCCAGTCTTCACCATTGAGAAACTTCTGTATTTCTAGTAAGGTTTGTCTTTTAAGGATAATCTCAGCATCGTAATGCATATCGCCTTTGTTTTCATCAGGCTGAATTGCAGTTACCAAAAACAAACAATAGAAAAAGAATACTGTTATTACCTTACTCAGTGTAACATTTAAATATAAAAGTCAACCTGGAACTAAACACAGAATTAGTGTGCAATCTCTCACACATAATAAGAATAATATCCACCTGTCTCACAGATCAACATGAAAATCAAAGATAATATATGCGGAAAACATTTAAAAACTACACAACTCTCACCAAGAAAGACGCTGTAGATATTACTGACTTAGTTGATTATTGCTATTTGTAGTAGCTAGGCTCTACCAAGTTACCTCAGACACTAATTAGCAAGTACAGGGACATTACTCCTCCAAAAATACAGGGTTAGGTTTCTGCAAACCTCTGCTCATAACAATTTCATCAGCTGATCAATACCTAACCTTATTTTACATATTTAAGATACTTTTTTCTTTCTTTTTAGATTTTCACTATAGGGCTTGTGCAGTTGCTAGAGAGAGAGAGAAAGAGAGACAGAGAGAGAATGAGAAATCATCCCCTCTGGGGAGATGGCCACACCACAATTCCTTCTCTTTCAGTCTCCTCTTGGGATTTTGGCCATGCATACGCACACACCCAGCATGTTTTTCAGGCCACTGGGTCAGGACTCAAACCTGCCATGGCCATGTGGGATCCAGCACCTTAACCACCAAGCCACATGCTGATCCCATAGACACCTTATTTTATATATATCGTTGACTTACTACTAACATTGGACACACGGCCATTAGTACTATAACTAAATGACAAATAATGCACACATTTTCTCTGTAAGGCACATCACAGTCTCTTTTCTTTTTTAAAATTTATTCACTTTAATTTTTTTTTACAAAAACTTTTTGAAATTCATAGTTTTCCCATTACATGTATTTCCATGAGCTTTTTTTTCCTCAAACATTTTTTAATTAATTAATTTACATTCATTCCCTAAGCATCATCACAGCATACAAAATGTGATTTCCCATCCAGAATATACTGCATAGTGGCTTAATTATGCATGTTATCATCAATAATTTTTCATTTCTAGTTTCATATATATATATATGTATTCTTATATATGTATACACACACATATATATAACTGTATGTGTGTGTATATAGTTTTATATGTGTGTGTAAATGTATGTATATATGTGTGTATGTGTGAATGTGTGTGTGTGTGTGTGTGTATATATATATATTGGAGATCCTGCAGTGATTTCTGGTCATCTGATGGATGGTGTGTTTCTTCCTAATTCTTGAAGTTCAATCTGAGCAGTCAGGTGCACACAGAAGTAGGTGTTCTGGAATCCCTATGCTGTTCTATATTTATCCCTTTGTGCAGCAGATTCAGTAGGTATTGAGGAATATGTTAACCCTAATAGTATTTGGATGTTTGGCTATGGTTCCCTTAGATCCATCTAGAAGCACAGTGAATGAAGACTGAGGAGCAGAGTGAGGAGATAAAAGAAAAAGAAAAGGAAATAGTGAGAGAGAGAAGACAACAACAAACAGAAAAAGAAGGAAAAAAATTATTTTTTTTTAAAAAAAAGCAAAAAAACAGAAAGCCGTGCAGTGCGCTTGCATGCTGCACAAAATCACTAGTTCTTAGAAGCCATGGAGGAGTCTTCTTCTGAAGTCCTGCCCCTTGCCTCTCCTGGGTGGGAGGGGAAAAGGGGATTATTAACAAAATAAAGGTGGGGCTGAAAGCTAAGAAAATACTTTACCTTAAAAAAATTTAAAAAGGAAAAATTACCAAAAAATGAAAAAACAGAGATAGAGAGTAACAGAGACAGAGACACGGAGAAGGCTAGAGGGACTATGAAAAAACAGAGACAGAGAGAGACAGAGACACGGAGAAGGCTAGAGGGACTCCCTACCACTAGTGTTTGTGGGCTAGAGGCTGAATTATCAGTAGAAAAATCTTCCTTTCTCTTTTTCCCTGAAATCATTAGTTCTCAAGAGTCATGGAGGAGTCTTCTTCTGAAGGTCTGCCCTTTGCCTCTCCACTCGAGTTTGTGGGCTGGAGGCTGAATTATCAGTAGAAAAATCTTCATTTCTCTTTTTCCCTGAAATCACTAGTTCTCAGGAGCCATGGAGAAGTCTTCTTGCCACATCACAGTCTCTTACATGTAGGAACACTAGACAGCACTGTCATACTGTCGGGTTGTCGGAAAAGTCATAAAGTATTTTCTCTATGTTTGCCTATGCAAAAATGTGCCATGACTTTTCCAACAACCAAAAACATTTGAGGGCCATTTGAAACAATAGAATTATCACCCCAAAGAAACTGAAAAATACAGCACTAAATAGTCTACAAAAAAAACAAACAAACAAACAAAAAAAACACATACTCTTGTTTGCAATATGAGAGGTAAAACAGTAAGGCAGGATTTCCTTGCCTTATTCCACCTACTGGGATCGGGAGCATTAGGCAACCGAAATTTTTTGCCATTCTGTGTGTATTGAAAAGTGACCACAAAAACATCCCAAGTATTGATTTGGGGGTTACAAATAAACTGTATTAAGTAGGCAAATTCATAAACATGGAACCTGCAACTAATGAGGATTGACTGTGTACCTTTATCTTTATAACTTAGTTTATGACTTTTCATTTGCTGAGTTTTCAGACAGCCTAAAATCTAGTTTTTAAAACAAGAGATCTCAAAAAGTAGCAAAATAACAGGTTTCCATGAAATACATGATATTTATAACTACTTTTATTAGTGTGAGTTCAGCTTAGCAAAATCACTGTAAACATTTTACATTCACTAACAAGCCAATATTCCTATTTCTTTTATAAGAGTAAATACAGGCCAGTCTATGGTAAGGTGGTTAGGGTAATGAGATCATGTGGGCATGACCAATTGTGTGCTTTGAGTGCTGGACTTGGGGGCTTGAGAAACAGGTCAGGCATGTGTACATACATGCCCAAAATCCTGAAAGGAAGAGAAGGAGAGGAACTGTGGCATGACTCTTCTCAACAGGGGGTTGCTCTCTCTCTTTCCAACAAGTGCCCATGCTTTCTGGCAAAAAAAAATTTAAAAATATATATGAAATGGATAAATAAAAGGCATACATTATCACAAATCAGCAGCAGACATTTTAAAAGCTGTCACTGGGGCCAGCAGGTGGCATAGTGGTTAAGGCCCTGAACTCCCACATGACCAACCACAGTCAAAGTCCTGGACTTGGCAGTTTGAATATCACACTGGGTACATGTGCATGTGTGCCCAAAATATTGAGAAGAAAATGAAGAAGAGACTGCAGTGTGGCTGTTCCCCTTGTGGGGTGATTTCACTTTCCCTCTCTCTGGGCACTGTATCTCTGTCTCTCTCTGGCAAGTGCACACACCCTATGGCAAAACCTAGAAAAAAAAGAAAACTTTTTTTTTTTTTTTTTAAATCAGGAACTACTTCTACACATCCCCATTTGAAGTATTTTTTGGTCCCATCTGTTTTTGGATCCTAGGTTCTTTTCCACGCTCACAAAGCCGTGGGTCTCAAATTGATGGATAAACACAGGAGAACATCTGTTTTAACACTGCCGTAATGAGGTAGAATTGTTGAACTATTCTCTTAACAATCCTTTCCCTTTGGGTCATTTCTTACTGTTCCAGGAGGATGGAGTCTGGCAGGTCGGGTCACATTTTCGGGGATCTGCCTGCAACCCTCTCTCATGGTTCAGCACAGGCCCAAAGCGCGGCTTCTGATGTGCTACACCAATTCTGGCATACACGATAGAAAACAAGCCTACATGCTTTTAGACAAGCTTTATTAATGAAATAAGCTGTCAATTATCATTGTTTTCTTGATGTTTTGAGTCCTAAAAGTGAAAACAGTGACCCTAAAAAGATAGAAGTTTTAACTTTCAGTATGAACAACATGCACAGGATACACGATTCTACAAAGTAGCACTGGCCAAAATAAACAAGAAAATCTAAATACATTTTTCTTTTTGTCAGTGATCTTACATGACGTGACTAGGAAAAATACAGAAAAGGTAGAAAACAAGCAGCACTGTCAGGACCGGATAAGCACCTCCTCCCTCAACCATGTGACACAGCAGTGCAAGACTGAGTAACACTCCCACCACCTGTAAGGAGAGGAAGAGGGGCTGGTGGCCCGGCAAAGCAGGTCAGTGCCTTAATCCTGCTTGAACAGCCTCTGGTAAACCATCGGTAGTCTCTATGTAAGCATAATGACACTGTATCACCTTTTCATGTCATTTGAAATCAGTAAAACAATGTACACATCCACTATTGATTAGTATCTTACTAACAGATACTTACAAGTCCAAGCTTTCCAGCTTCAATTAAAATCTTATTTAAGTATCTTCTGAAAACAGGATTGCTTTGACTTTCATAGTCTTCCCTCTTTTTCTTTTCACACTCATCAATCTGGAATCACACAAATTCAACATTAGTTAGCAACAAAGTTTAAGTTTCTAGCCTAGTGGTGCCACCAAAATCAAGGTAAGGAGCTTGTTGATTGTACCCAGCCTGCCTTTGTCAGCACAAGGCAGCACGGAGCTTGCCTGGCTCCTGCGTGCTCTTTGCAAGGGAAGTAGGCAGCAAGTGAGGAATACGCGTCCCTCCTGAGTCCTGACCTGGAGGTTTTCTGCTGACTTTCAGAGATTTTAAAGCTGAAGGTCATGAAAAAAGTGTCACAATCATGAAGCGAGGAGGCATAAACCCATAAGCAGGGCATATGAACCAATCTGCCTCTTTGTAATCCTAAAGTGACAATTTAACGAGAGAAAGGAACAGGGGAGGGGGGCCAGCCAGGTGGCATAGTGGTTAAGATGCTGGACTCCCACATGGGTAACCGCAGTTTGAGTCCTGGACCTGGTGGCTTAAAACTTACACCAGTTGTGTGCACATGCATGCATACATACCCAAGATGTGGTGTGGCCATCTCCCCTCCCGGGGGGTGTGACTAGTCATGACTTGTCACTTTCTCTATCTCTGTCTTTTTGGCAAGCGCACAAACCAAATAGCAAAAATTTTCTTAAAAAAAAAAAAATAGAAAAGAAAACACGCCAGGCATATGTGCATGCTTGCCCAAAATCCCAAGAGGAGAATGGAGGAAGAGGGATTATGGAGTAGCCGTGCCTGCTGGGGGATAATTTCTCATTTTGCCTTTCTCTGTCTCTGACGAGTGCACACACCCATACAAGGGAATAAAATAAAGGCAACAGTCAGATCCCACGTGGTGACTGTGGTTCAAATCCCCAGTTCAGTCATCTCAAAACATACCAGGCACGCACATGAGTGCTCAAATATCTGACTGGCTAGGGAACGAAAGGAAGGTGACTGCAGTGTGACAGACTGTGGAAGGTGCTCATCTCCTTCTTTTGCTTATTCTCACACATGATATCATAAATAAAGAGAAAAAATCCAAAAATAATTACGACACAGATAAATGTTATTGGAGGAAAAGACAATGACTAATAGAAAAGCCAAGGCTAGAATGAAAAGAAACCAAGGTTAGAGTAGCTAGAGAAAAATGTTATAAATGTAAATCATATAACACACAGAAACATACAAAGTATCAGCCAAGATGAGAAAGGAGGGCGATTAAAATAAAATAAAATTTATGAATTAAAAAGTCTAACCTTATGAGTTAAAGAATCGAGCCTGCGATAACACTCCGACACTTCGTCAGCACACGACAAGTCAGGACTGACATCCTTTTTCTCTGATGTACCGTACTGCGCCCAAACAAAGTAGAAAGAGATTTCACTTCCTCATAGCTCAGTTGTAAAGCAATCTTTAATGAAGACTAAAATTTTGCTTTTTTCATTTTATAACTTTGCTCACCGGATTCTCCAACTGTATTGAACCACCAAAAATGTTAAGTTTCAAATGTACAGGTTAAGAACCAAAATCAAATTAGACGGCTGCTTGATGGGGTTTTTGTTCCAGTTTGACTCATAAATAACCAGGCTGGTTTAAAATAACCTTACATTAAGAATGTCGGGGGGCGGGGCAGCAGATAGTGCAATGGCTACATCACTGGACTCCCATGTAGTTGACCGCAGTTCGAGTCCTGGACCCAGTGGCTTAAACTCACACCGGGTGCGTGTGCGTGCGTGCCCAAGATCCCAAGAGGAAAATGGAGAAGGGATTGCGGTGTGGCCATCCCCCTGGGAGGTGATTTCTCACTTTCTGTCTCTCTGTCTCTGTCTGTCTTTCTGGCGAGCACACACACCCGATAGCAAAAACATCTCCAAAAAAAAAGGAATGTCGGGGGGTCAGCAGATGGCATAGTGGTTAAGGTGCTGGACTCCCACATGGCTGACTGTGGTTTGAATCCTAAACCTGGCAGCCTAAAACTCATACCAAGCACCATGTGCACACATGCCCAAAATCCCAAAAGGAGTATGGAGAAGGGAACATGGCATGGCCACAATGAAAAACTACACATATATGATTCTCTTTATGAAATGTTCAGAAATCCCCAGGGGGTGATTTCTCACTTTTTCTCTCTCCATCTCTGTGTCACTCCAGTGAGCACACATGTCCTACAGCAAAAATCTCTCCCCAAAAAAGAATGTCAGAAAGATATTCTGCATGATTGCTAATCATTAAGACCTGACTCCCAAAGCCCTGTAAGATAATAACAAAAATAAACTATTGTCATCTTAAGACTAATGAGGTCTCATACACACCTGGGATTTTCTCATTGTTCCTGAAGCCGCGTCATAGTTAAGCATGTCTGTGGGATCAATCCAGTCGTCATCATGAGTGTAACCAGTTACCAGCAGCAGACATTCACAAAGAAGCAAAGAATACAGCATCCTGTATGAGGCTAAAAAAAATTTTGATATAATGAAATATAATTAGGTTTAAAATAAATTATTTTTATAATAAAAACATCTATTTCCTTCTGGTGTTAAGGTAATACTTTTTGGGACCAGCAGTTGGCATAATAACTATGTCGCAGGGCTCCCATGTAGTTGATAGTGGTTCGAGTCCCAGACCCGGTGGCTTAAACTCACACTGGGCACGTGAGCGCACATGCCCAAGATTCTGAGAGAATAAAGTTGTTAAAAATGGGGGCAGGGGGGCTGGCAGGTGGTATAGTGGTTTAAGCACTGGATCCCACACAACTAACTCTATGGTTTGAGTCCCGGATCTGGTGCCTTGAAAAACACACCAGGAGCATATGCATGCATCCAAAAATTCCAAGAGGAAAATAAAGGATAAAGGATTGCGGCATGGCTATTCCCCCGGCAGGTGATTTCTCATTTGCCCCTTCTCTGTCTCTGTTTCTCTCCAGAGAGCACATGTGCCTTGCGGGGAGGGAAAAAATAGCAAACAGGTATCTTAACCAAACAGGTCTTCTAATTTATTTTAAATGGGGGTGACTAAACTCCAAAACCATCTAAGCCTGTGTATAAACACTCAAATTTTTTTCAATAATTATTTTATTTAACTTTATTTATTTATTTATTTATTTACACTTAACCAGAGAGGGACAGAACAAGAGAGAGGGAAAGTGAGAAAACAAGTTGCCAGGTCTAGGACTCATGTGCCCTTAATCACCACACCACCTACCAGCCCCACACTCAAATCATTTAAACACTTAATAACCTTTCTCTTCAACACTAACAGCCACTAGCCACATGTTAATTAATTTTAAGTTAATTAAAATTAAATGAGGGCTAGCAGGTGGTATGGTGGTTAAGGCACTGGATCCCACACGGCCAACTCTAGTCAGTCCCCAACGAGTGGCTTAAAAACACATTGGGGAGACCAGCAGTTGGCATAATAGCTATGTCGCTGGACTCCCATGTGGTCGACCGCGGTTTGAGTCCTGGACCTGGTGGCTTAAACATGCATGTGTGCGTGTGCCTAAGATCCCAAGAGGAGAAGGGATTGCAGCGTGGCCATCCTCCCTGGAGGGTGATTTCTCGCTTTCTGTCTCTCCATCTCTGTCTTTCTGGCAAGCGCACGTGCCTTATAGCAAAAACCTCTCAAAAACAAACAAACAAACAACAACAACAAAAAAAAACACACACATTGGGTACATGTGTGTGCGTGCCCAAAATTCCAAGAGGAGAATGAAGGAGAAGGGACTGCAGTGTAGCCATTCCCCCCAGGGACGCT